GGGGCATGAGCAATGTACTGCAACATATGTGGTGCAATACATATGATGCGATCTACGTGGTGTAAGCCATGTAGCGCAATCATATGTAGTGTAATCGATGTGGCGTGAGCTATTTGGTGTAAGCCATATGGTGCAAACTATGCGGGGCGAGCCCACGTACTCATCTAGGTGGTGCAATGGTTCCATCTCTGGGGGGTGATCTACGTAGTGCAACATCTAGCACCCCGCATTCGCGGATAAGAGTGAGGGGGCGGCGGAGACGTCGGCAGTCTATGAGGCTCTGAAGAAGCCCGCCGCAGGCGCTTAATTTTCACAAATTATACAACGAGCCCGCCGCAGGCGCTGATTTTTCGTTAAAGCATTGTGGGTGGGTCGCGGGGTGGGTCGCGGGGTCGATCGCGGGTGGGTCGCGGGTGGACCGCGGGTCGGTCGCGGGTCGGGTCGCAGGTGGGTCGCGGAAGGGTCGCGGGTGGGTCGCGGGTGAGTCGCGGATGGGTCGCGGGCGGGTCGCGGGGTGGGTCGCGGGTGGTTGCAGGTGGGTTGCGGGTGGGTCGCGTGTGGGTCGCGGGCCGGGTCGCGGGTCGGATCGCGGGGTGGGTCGCGGGCGGGTCGCGGGCCGGGTCGCAGGGGGGACGACGCCAAACAACAACAACAACAACAACAACAACAACAACAACAACAACAACATTGACAACAAAAATAACAACAACAACAACAACAACAACAACAACAACAACCAGAGCAACAACAACAACAATCATCCGCATCGCGGAATTCCAGTTCAGCCACGCACCCAGGGACAGTGAATGACCGTTCGGCCCCCTCACTCTGATGTGGTGCCATCCATATGGTGCGATCTATGTGAAGTACGTTATGTAGTGCAACGCTAAGTGGTGCAAGCTGTGCAGTATTATATATATATATATATGTATATATATGTATATATATATATATCGGAGGTTGGGGGGTGAGATCGCAGTGTAACGGAGTCCCCCCACCGGGAAATCGAGTTTCGAGTTCGTGTTCGTGCCGCGCGTGCGGGCGAGGCGAAGCTGCGTGGGCCAGCGAGAGGAATTCACTCTGCTGTCGCTAGGGGTCCGCCAACACAAATGTTTCCCCCCCCCCGGCCTTGTCAAGCGGTAGCCCACGTTGTCCCGTCGGTTGCCCGCCGGTTGCTCATCATGGTTGTTCATCATGGTTGCTCATCATGGTTGCTCATCATTGTCCCGCCGGTTGCTCATCATGGTTGCTCATCATTGTCCCGCCGGTTGCTCATCATGGTTGCTCATCATGGTTGCTCATCATTGTCCCGCCGGTTGCTCATCATGGTTGCTCATCATTGTCACGTTCATCACGGTTGTCGTCATGAGCCGCCCCCCTCCCCCCATCCCCCCACAACCTCCTTATCACCCGCAGGGTGGTCGTATAGGTGTATATATATAGATATATAAATATAATGCGAGCTGCGTGGCACAAAGTAGTGCAACATAATGCAAAGCAAATCAAGGCGAAGCAAAGCAATGCAAAGCAATACAATGCAAAGCAACGCAAAGCAATGCAAATCAACGCAATGCGATTGCAGCGAAATGCAATGCAATGCAATCGCAGTGCAATGCAGCGCAATTGCAATGCATTGCCGCGACGAGGCGGTGGTGACGGCGATCACGTAACCGCCAAACCGACGGGCAGGCCCAGAGCGACGGGGTGGCGACGGCGACCATATAGCCGCTGGACCGATGCGCAGGCCCAGACGACGGGCGGCGACGAAGCGGCGACGGGGCGGCGACGGCGATCACATAGCCGCCAGACCGACGCGCTGGCCCAGTTCGTTACAAAACGAATACGAGACCCTAAGTGCAATCACTGTTTGGGGAATCGATGCATATATACATACATACATGCAACAGGGCGAACGGGAGAACTCAACCGAACAAAATACACACGGACGCACCCAACCTGCAACACGTGGCAACATCAACGGACCCATCCACGTCGAACGAAAACGTCAGTGGCCGCGTGCTCCTCTGTGGAAGCTACATGGGGCTTGACACCTCGCACGTCCCCACCAGCCCCTCCAGAAGCGAGGCCCATGCGAGTTGCCCGGATCGGGGAAGTGTATGATCAGACAGGGGGCAGCCGTCAAACCGAAGCTCGCGATCAGCCCGGGCAGACTTGGGAGTCAACCAGAAATTCTTTCGCTGACATTTTCATATAGGAGTTTCTTGGCAGCTTACTTGGGCCCTCTTGGGGTCGTTTGGGCAGCTCTTAGGGCCCTCTTGGGACCGTTTTGGGGCCTTCTTGGAAGTTTTGTGGACCATTTTGGAGGTCATCGATCAAAGAAGGGGGCGGCGCGGATTTCAGTTCCCCCGTCGGAGTCCTCAAAATCTCCTCTCGGGGCCCTCTTGGAGCGCTCTCGCGGCGATCTTGGGCGCTCTTGGGTGCGTCTCGGGCCCCTTTTGCTGCTCTCTCGGGCGATCTCGGAACCATCTTTATGCTTCAGAAGCCTATCTGAAGCGAAAAGGCGCGAAAGCAAGAAAGCAGTGCTTTCGTTTCTATGTCCGGGAAGGAGTTCGCCCTCTCGGGAGCGCCCTTGATAGGCTCCATAGCCACTTGGAGCCGTTTCGGGACGGCCTTGGGCCTCTTGGAGGCATGTTGTAGGATATCTTGAGCCATATTGTCCTATATTATGCCGTCTCGGAGGCCATCTTGGTCCATCTGCAACCCCTCTGTAAACATCTCGGGCCACCTTGGACCCTCCAGCCACCCGCGACCCCCCCACTCCAGACCCAGGGGAGGGTCGTCCCCGACTGGGGCGGCTGAACGCGAAACCATCCAGTCAGCACCTGGGCACGGCACCAGGACCCCCAGACTCCAAGACAGCGCCCGTGAGGCCGGAGATGGGCGTCAAGACCGCCCAGATGAAGGGCAAGGTAGAGGTATATCAGTCCAGGTGGTCACGTAAGGCATCGGCACTGCTGCGTGGAGGCAGCCGGGGAGCTTCAAGACGGCCCGAGGTGGCCACGGCGCCCTTCCAAGCATGCCATCAGAGTTCAATGAAGGTGACATTTGCCTGTTCGCGCCTAAATTGTCGGGATGTCTCTGGCGGTTTGCCCGTTTTGTGGCCCAGGACCCTTTCCTTTCGAAAGCCCCTTCATCACAACAACAGAGCAGGCACGGCGCTTGGGTATTCCAAGGGGGAGCCGCCATGGACGGGGACACTCGCCAGTTCGCGCCCAGATCGTAGGAATGTCTAAGACGAATCGCTTATTTGGGCACCTCGGATTATTCTCTCTTGAGGGTCATATGGTCACCGCGATGTAGCAGGCGTAGCACTTCGTCAGTACAAAGAGAAGCAACCAGGAGTGCATCACGGGCCCATTCGCGCCAAGGTTGCGGGATGTCACATGCGGTTCGCTTGTTTCGGCGCCTCGCACTCTTTTCTTTTGAGAGTTCCATGATCACCACGATGTAGCAGGCATGCCAGTCGGGCACCGCCCAGGGGGACGCGCCAGAGGATGTCACTGATCCGTACGCGCACACATTGGGGAGATGTCTCAGGCGGTTTACCTGATTCGGCGCCTCGAACTCGTCTCATTTGACAGCCCCCTGATCACCGCGACGTAGCAAGCATGACCTAAGGGATGTTGCTCTTGCGTGTTCACGCCCAGATCGTGGAATCTCTCAGGCGACCCCCCTCCCTTCAGAGCCCCAAAGCCATTCTGGTGCAGCAGGCGTAGCGTTCGAGCACCCCCAGGGGGAGCGGGCAGGGAGCCGTCAGTCGCAACTCAGACGCTCACACACGGCAGTGCCGGGAATTGGGATGCAAGTATGGAAATCTCCGCATCGAATCTGCCATCGGCGTTGCTGCGCTGAGGCAGCCAGGGGATTGCGGTGCCACTCTAGGTAGCCGTGAAGAGTTCAATGATTGTTGGCCTTCTCGCTTTTTCGCTCTAGATGGGCCCTGGAGGCCTCTAGGTGGCTCCAATATGGCCCCACAGAGGCTCAGGAGGGGCCCTGGAGGAGCCCAAGACGGCCCCCGAGGCCCCCACGACAGCCCCAAGACGGGCCCAGGAAAAGTCCGAGAGGGCCCCAAGAAGGCCCCAGACCCTCGCAAGTTGCGAAGTGGCCAACAAGGCCCACCCACCCACGCGAGGCGATGAGCCCTGGAGGCCTGAAGATAGCTCAAGAGAGGCTCTAGAGGGGCTTCGGAGGAAGATGATGAAGGATGAGGCACGGGAGAAGCGGGGGACGGGGGAGGGGGAATAAGAGGAAGAGGAGGAAGCAGGGGAGGAGGAGTAGGAGGAGGAGGAGGAGGAGGAAGAGGAGGGAGGAGGAGGAGGAGGGGGAGGGGGAGGGGGAGAAGGGTCTCGGGGCGATACCCTATCGAGGCCGCTTCCCTTGCCTTTATTGGTCCTCCAGGCGCACGCGGGCTCGCGTCGGCCGCACCGTTCTTCCGATTTCGCCACGATGTTGCACAAGCGGTTACCGAGCAAAAGAGGAGGAGAAGGAGGGCCGGAGGATCGTGGATGCCTAGGTTGAGAATAACCGCTGCAGTGCCAGCGATCCCTGATTTGCAATGCCAGCGATCCCTGATTTACCCCCACCCGAACTCACCATCATCATGCATTTGGAAAAGCGTCTTCTGAGCGCGTTGGGAGGATGTCCGGGGGGGAGGGGGTCCAAAACCCTCCTCCTCCTCCCCGCCCTGGCGACGGCGCCATCCCCCCCCTCTGGGCGCCAGCAAGCGACGACGTCGACGACGACGACGACGACGACGACAACGACTGGACCACGACCACGACCACGACGACGACGACGACGACGACGACGTCGACGACGACAACTGGACGGCGACGACAACGACGACCACGACTGGACCACGACCACGACGACGACGACGACGACGACGACGACGACGACGACGACGACGACGACGACGACGACGACGACCGCGACGTGCGCCTCCCGCCCGCCCGACCAACTCACATCCCCGCGACCAGGAGCGACCTCCCCAGAGTGCTGCGCGGCCCCCAGCTGCCTCCCAATTAGCCGTAGCCGCCCTGCCGTGCCCCGATCGGGCGCTCGCGACCCCGCTGCCCCAGGAGGGAGGGGGGAGGAGGAGGAGGAGGAGGAGGAGGAGGAGGAGGAGGAGGAGGAGGAGGAGGAGGTGGCGAAGAGGAGGAGGAGGAGGAGGAGGAGGAGGGGGAGGAGCAAGAGGAGGAGGAGGCAGAGGACGACGAAGGAGCGAATTCGGAACGGAACTCGGAGGTCCGCGAGAGAACTTTGCAGGGAGGTGCTGGCGGGGGTGCCAGAGAGAGATGCCGCGTGCAGACCAAAGGGGGCCGACGAGGGGGGAGGAGGAGGAGGAGGAGGAGGAGGAGGAGGAGGAGGAGGAAGAGGAGGAGGAGGACAAGGAGGAGGACAAGGAGGAGGAGGAGGAGAAGGAGAAGGAGGACGTCCAGTGCAACCCAAGACTCATCAACTACGCGGGAATAAAGCCTCCCTCCAAGCTCTCCCTTCATTGGCCCCTACAAGGATTCATACGCACTGCCAAAACACCGTTCTCGGGACTCCAACGCCACGAGTCAACCTGATTGTTGCGGCGTGGCGACCCTGAATCGTGCCACAACACCGTTCCTCGGATTTCATCGCGAATCAGCCTAATTGTTGCGCCTTGACAATTCTGAATCGCTTCTAAGCACAATTTCTGGTACGCCAACCATGCGAACCTGTGAAGCTCTTGGAATTGTTCTGAAACGATTGTGTGCGGCGCGTGCGGCGCTGAGGCGATAGCCACATTTCGAAAAGCAACCGCCCTCAACCCATGAAACTCTTGCAAATTGTTGGCGCTTCGCGTTATCCCCACCAGCCCACATAGAATCGATGCCCAGGGGAGTTGAGGTGATCAGGGAAGCGGAGGAGCGTGCAGAAGAGAGGGTGGGGAAAGCCGTCCGATACCCCAAGAGGGGGAGGATGGTGGAGGAGAAGGAGGAGGAGGAGAAGAAGGAGGAGGGCGATGAGGAGGAAGGAGGAAGGGACAGTGGACAAGGAGGAGGAGGAGGAAGGAGGAGGAGAAGGAGCATCTTGGCGAGCCCAGGGGCTTCTTTGAGGGTCTTGGCTGCCTCGGGGATCCTCTTGAAGCCTTTTGAGGGCCTCTTGGGGGTCTTTTGGGAGCCTCGTGGAGGCCTCTTGGGGCCGTCTGGGCGCCTCTTGGGGCCCGCTTGGGGCGCTCCTCTTGGGGCCATCTTGGAGAAGATCGATCAAAGAAGGGGGGTTCCTTAATTCGCCTCCCCCCTCGGGAGCCCCTAAAATCGCCTCCTGGACCCCTCCCGGAGCGCTCTTGGAGCGCTCTTGGGCGCTCTTGGGGCCGTCTTGGGGCTCTCTTGGGCTTCTCTTGGGGCCCTCATGGGCCCTTTTGGAGCTGTTTTGGGGCCTCGGAAGGCCATCGGAAGCGAAAAAAGCGAGAAGGCCAAATGCATGATTTCCCTTTGGTTTTGACGGATTTTGGCATATTGGCGGCCTCCTTGGCGTGGCTATTTGGAACCGTCTGTGGGGCGGTCAGAGGGTCTCTTGGAGCATCGTGGGAGGCGTTTAACGCATCTTGGGATATCTTGGGCAATATTGGAGGTCATCTTGGGCTGTCTGAGGCCCTCTTGGAGCCATCTTGGGCCATCTTGGACGCTCCAACGACCCGCGAGACGCCCTGTCCAGGTCCAGGGGAGGGGGTAAGGGGGAGGGGTTAACCCTTCCCCGAAGGAGAAGAAAGGGGGTGGAAGAGGAAACTCCCTAAACAACCTACGCCCAGGTGGCTGGTGGGATTGTAAGGTGAATGTGGGTGGCTCTAAGGCGAGAGCCACATGTGTAAAAGGAACGCCTTCAATCGTTGAAACTCTTGCACTGTTGTGAAACGAATGTACGCGGCGCTACGGCGAGAGCCACATTTTCAAAACGACCCGCCCTCAATCCGCGAAACTCTTGCACATGTTCAGGATGAATGCTCGCAACGCTAAGACGAGAGCCACATGTTCAAAACGACCCGCCCTCAATCCGTGAAAATCTTGCAAACTTGTTACGCGAATGTGCGCGGCGCTAGGGCGAGAGCCACATGTTGAAAGCCACCCGCCCTCCATGTGTGAAATTGTGGTCATTTGCAAAGTTTCAGGATCATAAATGGTGAGGAAGTCTCAGGCGGAACGCCCGCGCCCGCCTTCTCGACCAGCCTCGGGGTGCGACAGGGAGGAGTTAGAAGGAGAAGGAATGTAGGAGGAAGAGGAGGAGGAGGAAGAGGAGGAGGAGGAGGAGGAAGAGGAGGAGGAGGCGTAAGATCGCGGGGGAGGCGCCCAGAACACGGTCGGGAGGGCGAGCCTGCTCAGGAACGCGCCCTGCCGCGACCCTGCCCCTGGCCCGTGGCCCGGCGTTCCGCGCCCCCGTGGCGGCGGACGTTTCTCTCCTCCCGCAGACCCCCATGGGCAACCATAGGGGGGGGGGGTAGGCACAGAGCGGGACGCATCGACCCACAATCGCCCACTGATCGCCGAGAGGGGCCCGAAAGCCCCAACCTGCCCAGGGGCGTGCGGATCCACGATCAGAGGCCCATCGCCGATCTGTCGGTGATGTATCGCCAACTCCAGGTCCATGTTCCTCCCCCTAGTCCCCCCAGATCGTTGCCCCTCAGACTCTCGTCCTCTCGCGCCGTGGAGCACCGAGGGCCCACGAGCGCAGAAAGAGAGGGGAGGAAGGAGGGCAAGGGAGCATCCCGGGCCGTCTTGAGAGCTTCTCGGGTGAACATCCTCCTCATCCGCCGTCTCCTCCTCCCTGCACTGCGCCGCGGCTTGGCTGCGCGAAGGCGGCCGGGTGCCGCCAGCAGAGGTTTGTGTTCCCCCCCGGTCTGGGTTAGAAGTTTGGGCCCGCAGGTTTTTGTTCCCCCCCGGTCTGGGTGAGTTTTTGAGCTCCCGCCGCACGGCGATGCATCGCGTGCCCGCGCCAGCCCATCTTACGCAGTGAACGTTGCGCATGTGGAGGGGAAGGCGGGGAGAAGGGGAGGAAGAAGCAGGGAGGGAGACAGAGGTTGCAGCAGGGGGGCAGCAGGGGGCAGCAGGGAGCATGACGACGACGACGACGACGACGACGACGACAAAAACAACAAAGAAAAAAAACAAAAACAAAAACAACAAAAAAAACAAAAAACAAAAAACAAAAAAAAAAAAAAAGGCGGCCGCCCCCGCGTGCTCCGACTCGAGGAAGCGCAAGCATAGAGCAAGGCGCGTGGGTTGGCAGCGGGCCCCGCTCTCGTGTAGAATCGGCACGCTCCGTCGCCAAATCAGACGGCATTAGCCACGCGTTTCGGCGGCACTATCCGACCCGTAGATATGGTGCCCATGCGCCGAATTCACGGACACGTAGTTTATGTCCGCGCGCCCCTCTCGCGTCGTGGAGAATTTCAGGAGCCCACGAGCCCCAGACCTCCAACTCGTGAAGGGTGTAACGACTTCTGCTGTCCCCCGACTCGCGCTGGGGTGGCAACGACTTGCTCAAGGTTTCCTGGAACATCTCTGGCAGGCCTAGGACGAGTACAAATAGTTCCAGAGCGCTCCCGAGCGTGTTCAGGGCGGTGCGGATCTCTCCGAAACGGACGTAGCGCCGAATGCGTTTTCCAGACCCGCCCTTTGTCAGAGCTTCCCGATCTATCCCCAGACATCGGATGTCTTGATTTCTTCGACACGGGACCCCCAGAAGTCTCGATCTTTTCCCCCAGGGCCAGATTTGCGTCCCGAGCCAGTCTTGGACGGCCCCAGGGCCCGGCGAGGGCTTTCAGAGGCAAAACATTGGCAAAAGCCTCCCATCGTGATTTTTCGCGGCACGAGCATGTCTAGGATTTGTCCCTCACATTGCCTTCGTCTTACCAAGGAAGGGCCTCGTCCTCTATCATATTTCCCTATTCCTCGACATCCGACGATCTGATTTTTCCATATTGGCCAGCGTTGACTCCAAGTAGATTGGAGGACAGGAGAAGGACGAGAGGAGGATGGAAGGAGGACGAAAGGAGGAAGGGAGCAGGACGGGAGGACAACGGGAGGAGCAAAATCAAGCATGCGCAAGCAAGCAAGCGGAAGCAAGCAAGCGCAAGCGAGCCATAACAAGCAAGCAAGAGCCAGCGAACAAGTGTAAGCAAGCGAGGGCAAGTATTAGCAAGCAAGCGAGAGCAAGCACGCAAGAGCAAGCAAGCAAGTGTCATTGGAAAAATGGGGGCCAATGGAAAAAGGAGGGGGTCCTAAAGACCAATTACTTATGATGAGCTAGGACTCCTATAGGGCAAACCTATTCGAAGAGTTGTGCATCTCCAGGGGGTGCCGAACCCCTTTCATGGGGGCGATTGCTTTACACTCCGGATCTGTTAATGATGGCCCCGTGCTCGTGATCATTCACGGCTTTCGTCCCAGTTGCATTAAGTTGGATTTCTCACCAGCTGATCTTGCCTAGGACCAGACAGGGGTCGGCACGTGACGGCCGATTTTGGCTACCTTTCTGTCCCCTTGCCCGCTTCCTCCCGCCTCTTTCTCATCCCTCGCTCTGCCTTCCACTATCCCCTAATAGTCTTGGATCTACGGCACTGGCCGTTTGGGTCATGCGGTAGGGGGTATGACACAATGTACGCCATTGCGGCCCGATACGTGTTGAGGGCAGTCGTATCAGGCATCGCCGAGGGGGTGTGGCAATTAGCGATGGCATGCGCACTGCTGTTTTTGTGCGTTGGGTGTAGGAAGTCTCACGTCGCGTTCGTTCCCTTTGTGCAGAACTGTCTCTGGCACTTCACATTCGCATGTGGTCGTGTTCGTTCCGTTCGCGCTGCGAGGGAGAAAACAAGAAATACAAAAAAAGACAGGCCTATAATTTAGTAGAAACGCCCGGATTGAAACAATTCCGAGAATGCATCTTGATTGAGAAATGATCGGAGATTTGGGAATGCTTCTTTGCACCGCCTTGGTCATACCAAGGAAGGGCTCCTTGCTGCCAGCGTCGAGCTCGGCCGCATCGGCGCTGGTATGTCCGTGGTCGAATTGTAATCCTGCTTGCTTCCGCTAAATCCCATTCAGCCCCGCTTAATCCCAGGCTGAGTTTTGATTTGTCTGGTTTACTCGCCCCTTTTAGTCGGGCTCAATAGCCCCTAACTGTTCTTCTGATGACCTCCAAAAAACTGTCCCCTACGGCCGGGAACTTTGGACTAGCGCGTCGCGCCGCCAGTTTTGGCCCACCGCGTTTGGGCGCGACACGGTAGCCACGTCCGAGTCCCCGTCCCCAAACGTCAACGTCCCGAGTTTTCCCCAGCCTCGCGGAGCGAGACGACCCGCTCTCCGCTCGCAAGGCATACCGTGTCGCCGGGGCCGCCGCCGCGACGTTCGAAGGAAGCAAAACTCTTGCAAGTCTCACCAAGGAAGGGCCCCCTGCTGCCGGCGCCGCGCTCGGCCGCCTGAGCGTCAGCCCCTCGGCAGGGCGCGCCCCGCGGGCGGCCTCCGCGCGGCGCAGCGCGCCCGCCCCCCGCGGGATCGGCGCGTCGTCGGAGCAGCGCAGGCCCACCAACGAGCACCGACGACGCGCCAGGCGCCGTTCCTGACTCTCTTCCTGCGTCCCCCATCCGTTCGTTCCTTCCTTCGCCTTCCTCATCATCCTCCCCCCAGGTGCGCGGGTGTCGCGAGGGACACTCCCCTGCAATCGCTCTCGTGAACGTCCACACCTGCAGCTCACTATCATCAGACAGGCGGAAGGTTGCCGTCGCCTGGCGCGCGGCGCGCCGGTGGGCGCAAGCTCGCCCGAAGACGCGGTTTTTCCTGGCCGCTGGCGATTTCAAATGCGACGACGGCGCCAATCTCAGCTATCTCGATCCTGCCCTGTTACCGCGACATGTGGCACGGCATGATCTAGTTGCTCCTCGTTCTTGGGATCACTTTACCGGGCCCATGCTGCAGATCCGACTTGACCACCCTACTCACAACGATGCCGAACGGCGCCGAGCCAACACCCTGGATAAGTTCTTCGTGTCCCTGCCGCCACACGCCATGTTTGGAGTCGACGTCAAAGCCACGCTCATATTCGACCCGGCTTCGACCTCCGACCGCGGGCTCAGCGACCACAGCACTATACAACTACAGTTGGGTAATTCATCCGCGCCTCGCCCAAAAGACCTGGCAATACCTGAGTAGATCTTCCGTCAGCCGCTGTACGCGGAGTGTTTCGACACGCTCCAGATGGCCTCCGTGGTCCACAACGGCGACGTTTTCCAGCATCCTCCACGTACCAGACCTGTCGACTCATCGAGCGTATTCTGGCGCTGCACTTATGGTGCACTGGTCTGCTTCGTGCGCCTACTGGCGACAAGATTACGCACGCTGGGCTTACCACGACTGCCCCGAATGCTGCCCAATACTTCCAGATTAGCAATGAAAATATTGTTCTCCTCGACCCTGCCGCCTTTGCCTCTTGACCGCCAACCTGCAGACGCTCAAGTTGGTGCCGCTGCCGCTCATCAGAGAGGCGCCCACGATGCAGGCGCTTACTGGAAGGGCCGTGCGTGGAGGACACGGCAAAAGGCTCAGCTATGGCGCCCTTTCCAAAACATGCAGACCGTCGTGGGTATGCTGCAGCCTTCGCATCTGGCCACGGTGGCAAACTCGTCTACAAACACCCCTACGGCTGTCACGAGCCCGCTGGGGATGGCGGCGGCTCTTCGGCCGCACTGGCACCCCATCTTCGCAGCCGAAGAAGTTCCGACTGCTGACTCACACGACCATATGCAACTTCATGTTCCCCGGTTGTCAGATCTTCAATTACCAGTGCCAGAGTTCCGAGACATAGAAGCAGCAGCACGCCGTCCGCGACCCACGGCACTTGGCCCCGACGAGATCCCGCATTCCGAATGGTTTCGGGCACGTGGCGTTTTGCACATGTTGTACATGATGATAAGTACGATGATGATGATACTACATCGTTTACCTCATGTGCCCATCGCCCCCTCACCCGAGTGCTGCCGCGCCTCTTGCAGCATCGCTTGTGTCTGTAACCCTTTCGCTCAAGCTTCTTCCCAGACCAGGCTCCGAGCAGTGCATGGCAGGGCTGTTGTCGGGTGCCTTGGCTGGGCTGGCGCAGGTGGGCGGGCAGGCGAGCTTCCTCTGGCTCTCGTGGTGCCCGTCTGTGCCTGCCTGCCCACCCTGCCCCCAGTGCCCAGCGTGCCCTGGGGCCCCAGCCAACCCGCCCTCGCCGCTGGCCGCAGGCGGGCTAGGGCTGTGGGGGTGGGTCCTCGTCGCGGGCTGTTTCTTCGTGACTGGACTTGGCTTGGGCACGTGGCTGACGCCGACGGGGCTCGCGGTCCAGACTGAGCCAAGAGATGGAGCTCAGCCAGCGGCTGAGACCATGGGCGCGCGTGCTGTACAACGACGCGGCCCCGCCTCGATTATGGCACCAACGCCGAGCGTCGGGAGTCGCGGTGTCGTCGGAGACTAACGCGCTGGCGTGTACTCCCGACGACGACGTGCATAGTGAAGAGCTGCTGGATCTTGACGCCCAGCAGGACGTGACGGCTGCGCGGTTCTCCGACCGCCGCTGGCCCCCTCCAGGTGGAGTCCCGCGGGCGGAGTGCCACCGCTTTCGGGCAGACCTGGGGGCGGCCGACCTGGCGGCTCGCGAGGCCGAGGCCGTGGCTCCCGCGAACGAGATCTACGTCGCGCAGGGGAGGGCCAACGGCCGCCCCGCGGTGCCGCCCCCAGGGGGAGCCCTGAGGCTGCTGGCGGAGATCCTGGCCGAAGGTGCCGCCGCCCTCGCGGGGCCGCCGCCAGTGAGGGAGGCCGAGGAGGCTGGCGCTGCTGCCCCATTGGGGGCCGACGCTCGCATCCTGCACCTGCAGATGATCGGGTCACCCGAGGGCTCACCCGCCGCAGGCGACCGTGGCGGGATGTAGCCATGATGTTCTCGGTCGCGCAGTTCAGCGACTTGCCGATCCCTGGCCCACGCACCGCGGCACGGCGCGCGGGATGCATCGGCGTGGAGGCGGGCCGTCAGATCATTATCAGTTCTTCAAGCAGGTGCACGATCTCACGAAGACCGACCGGGGCGTCGACGCCCATGGAGTGATCTTGAGGATGTTAGAGAAAGCGGGGTGCTACGACGGCCTCGACGCGACGAATGTTGCTGCCCTCGAGGTCGCGATGCGCCATGCCCAGCTCGCGGAGCACGTCTATGCCCAGGACGCCGCGGGCAGCGGCAAGGGCAAGAGCAAGCAGAGCAATGGCGGGGGGCTCCAGGATCGGATCGGGCTGGTGGACGAGGCCTCCGTGTTCCTGGGCGCCCACCGCGACACGGGCGAGGCGATGATCGCCCCCGACTTCCTCGACTACGCGGCGAAGGAGGTGGAGAGGGATGCATCGGTGACGAAGCAGGTGAGGAAGGCGCGAGAGGAGCGCCGCATGCTCACCACGCACCAGCGACGCAGGCAGGCCGGGCGGCGGATGACTCCGACCGCCGCCCAGCACCTTTCAGAAGTTGTTCGAGGCGCGCCCGCGGCGATGGCCGCACGCGCGACATATTGCCCATCCCTCTCGAGGCCCTCGCTGCAGAGAAGGATCCTAATTCGGTGCCACGCAGTCGATCAGTGCTTCGGCGAGTTCAGCGTCGCGCCCACTTGCACTCTGGGACGGCGGAGACCATCGCCGCCCTCAACAACCTCTTTTGCGGCGTCTCCGAGCCGAGAGAGGAACGCACCCCCCGCCCGACGGCCGCCCAGGCCGAGCGCGTGCTCCAGGTCCGCAAGGCCTGGTCGCAGCTCGGTCCGCCGCCGCCCGACATGGAGCCTGCGGGAGCCTTGGATGACCTCCGAGGTTCGCGGCGACACGATTGGGAGCCGTCAGTCGTCGCCCCGTTCGACGTGCACAACCTCTCACTCCCACCCGTTGGTTTCGAGCCCGTTGACTTGGAATTCGCTGGGGGCGCGGTGGGCAGATTCATCGTCGACCGTCTGAGAGAGAAGCTCTTGCCAAGAGGGCAAGCGGAGATCAAGAAGGTGGAGGCGGGCGTCAGTCGTCCGCATTGGGATCCTGCGCTTCGCCAGCGGCCGCGCGCCTACGCCGCCTCCCTCCGGCGGGCCGAGGCGGCGGGGCCCATCGAGCGCCGACGCTCGGCGGAGACGGAGGCGGGCGCGCCCTCGGCCTGGAAGAAGTCGGGGGAGCAGAGAGTGATTATAGATGCTGGGATCGCGAACTGCGCCTTCGACGAGCCCGACTCCGCGGGGCTCGCCACGGGGCAGGCCGTCAGCACGGCGCGCGCCGACGAGGGGCCGCCCATCATCGTGGGGGGGTGGGCATCCAGGTCGCCCTCTACGCGACGCTGCTGCCCCGTGACCTCAGCGCGCACTTCGGCCTCGCCCCCGTTCGCGCTGGCACGGTGAACGCGACCTGCGTCGAGGGCGAGGCCGCGAGCGCGCAGGATCACATCGTGCCCTGGCTGAACGCGCTGACGATGGGCTGGACGCAGGCCGTCTGGGCGCGCCAGACGCTACACGAGGCCGTCATCGACCGCTCGACGAAGATGGGAGATGAAGATCGGCTTCGGGGCTCCGCGCCCCCGCCCTCGCTCGCCCCAGGCCTGCACACGGAGCACGTGGACAACTTCGTCGCGCTGAGCCAGGACGCGGAGGAGGTGAAGGACCGCGCCCTGTCCGCCACCCAGGCGCTGCAGGATGCCGGGCTGCCCACGCACCCTCCGAGCTGGGGCGCGGGGGGCGAGAGGCTGGGCTGGCACTTCTCCGAGCTCGAGGCCGCCGTGGAGGTGGCCCCTCGGTCCGCCTGGCGCCTCCGAATGGGCCTGCTGGCCCTAGCCGACAGGAGGTTCGTCAGCGGTCGGGAGCTGTCGAGCGTGCTCGGCCACTACACTTTTCGAGCCCTGCTTCGCAGGGAGCTCCTCAGCGCCCTCTCGGCGAGCTACGCGCACGTCGAGGTTTCCGGGGAGAGGTCAGGCCACCTCTGTGACAGCGCGCGGCAGGAGCTGCGCCTGGCAGCCGCGCTGGTGCCATTGGCCCGACGGCATCTGGGAGCCCGCTGGGACCCGCGGCCCACTGCGTTCGACGCCTCCGCGTGGGGCAGAGGCGTCATGCAGAAGCACGCGCCGGAGGATTGGCTGGCGAAGGCCTCGGTGTTCAACGAGCGGCGGCGCTTCACGCGCTCCGAGGAGAGCGCAATCACTGCCCGCGGAAATCTGGAAGTCCCAGATCTCGGAGCTTGTCGGCGCCGTGCCCCACCCGTGCCTCGATATATGTGGGGAGGTGTCTGGAAAAGAGTGTCATCGTCACCCTGGGATCGCCAGGAGCCTCAGGTCGTCCTGGAGGGCAGAGCGGGGGTGTGGGCCTTGAAAAAACATATTGCGGGATCGGAAGTCCATCGGAAAGCGCCTCGTGATGTTGTCTGACGCCACGTCCTTGATCCTTGCCGCCTCCAAGGGCCGCTCCTGGGCTCAAGGCATGGGCCCCGTGATACGGCAGCGGGCCGCACTCTGTTTGATCGGCCCCGTGTCTGTCTACCTACCTTCGATGGGTGCCTTCCGAAAGGAACGCGGCCGAGCTCCAGTGGCGGGCCGCTGCGAAGTGCTGAGGCCGCCCGCGGGCCTGCCGGGCGCGATGCTGCCGCGGCCGCTCGGCGCCACGAAGACGGCCCTGGGCAAGTTGACGAAGCCCTCGAGCCAGACCGCCCTGTCGACGGTGTCGCTGCTGAGTCGGCCGACCTCGCCGATCGCCAGGACACAGGTCTCAGCGTCGGGGCGAGTGCTGCGGCGGCTGGGGCCCAGCGCAGGCCCTTCGGCTGCGCGCCAGTCGCGCCGTGGCGCGGGCGCGGGAGCGGCCCCCCGGCCACCCAGGGCGACGAGGCACCGCCCGCTGGGCCGGGGGGCCGGGTCGGCCGAGCTGGAGCCGAATGCGCTGGAGCTGAGGAAGAGGCGGAGGCTGGAGAGGCACGGCAGCCAGAGGACGGACGCCGACGGCCCGATGAGCTTCCTGGAGCGCCGCACCGCGCGGACGCGCACGGAGGCCAACTATCGCAACCGAGCGGCCGCCTTCGAGCGTTGGGCCCGGGCGCCCAGGATGCCGCTGGAGCCCGTGACCGCGCTCGACGCCGCCGTGGTGGCTTGGATGAACGAGCAGTTCTTCGAGGGCACCGGGTTGGCGAGCGGCAGCTACCTCCTGGCGGCCCTGGGGCATCTGCGGCCGGGGCTGGCTCGCGGGGCGCCCGAGCTGGTTCGGAGCCACGCTGCCAAGAGAGGGTGGCGGCTGCTGGCTCCGACCAAGTCTCGGTTGCCGATCCCGCTCCCTGTGGCTGCCCTCATGGCCATCGCGCTGGCGCTCGAGGGAAAGCTGCAGATGGCGTCGGCGGTGATGGCGGCCTTAGCGTTCATCCTCAGGCCAGCCGAGGTGATGCGCATCCGAGTCCAGGACGTGGCGCCCCCGCCCCGAGAGGGCGGGACAGGTCGCAGCCGCTGGTCATCACCCCCTCGAGCAGGGTGCGAGCTCAAGGACGGGAGCGCACGACGAGTCGCTGGTGCTCGACAACCCCGAGTTCGCCTGGCTGGGAAACGTGCTGGACCTCCTCTGGCGGGAGGCCAAGGGGGACTACCTGTTCGGGTTCAACTACGCCGACTAGGTCCAGAGCTTCGCCGACGCGGGCCGACGGCTGCGCCTCGGGCACCTGGGCCCGCCCGCGCTGTACCGGCTCAGGCACGGGGGGGCGCCGCACGAGGCGCTCACCGTTTTCAGGGGCGCAGCCGGGCTGAAGCAGCGGCGGCGCTGGAGCAGCGACACGTGCGCCCACAGGCACGCCAAGGGGGGCCGAGTCAACCAGGTGCTGGCCTCCCTCAGCGCAGCCATGCGGAGGCACGGCGCCGACTGCGAAGCCAGACTTGGTCGCCTCCTCTTGAGGCGAGCGCCTCAGCTGCTGCCGCCTGGCGCGGCGGCATAGCCCTGGAGATGTTCTCGGGCTCGGGCCGCTTCTCCCACAGCTGGCGGAGACACCCTCGGCCGACAAGCGTTGCCCATTTACGAGATCGACATCCGCCATCACCTGTCGCATGACCTCACTGCGCGCAAGGGCCAGCGGATCATCCGAGGTCTCATCCAGCGCGGCTTGGCGCGGGCCATCTGGCTCGGGGTGCCCTGCAACACTTTCTCGCGGGCTCGAGAGTCTGGCCCGCCTGGGCCACCCCCCTCGCGGTCCGCCGAGTTCCCAGCAGGACTCCCCGACCTGAAGCCTCACGACCAGCAGAAGCTGGAAGTGGGAAACGCACCGGCCGCCTTCGCCGCCCGCCCGATGGCGGAGCGTCGGCGGAGAGATGTCCCAACCGTGCTCGAGAAACCTTGGACGAGTCGGCTTTTCCAGCAACCCACGGAAAGCAGGCCGGGACTTTCGTCACTGCAGCCGCCGAGCCATACCCCCGGCCGCTGTGCAACCGTCTTGCCCAGGTTTTCGCCGACGCCCTTGTTGCCAGAAAAATGAAAGACCTATCTTGTGTATTGGACTCGGCTTGACAGCCAGGGGTCAGTTTGGACATGCGAACCTGACATTAGCGTTGGAGAGCTGGGCCCAGAGAGAGTGTTTTCTTCGAGGAGCGCTCGCTGTCATCGACGGCGCGCGCCCGGTGGCCTGTCTCGCCGCTTGTGCGGAGCGTGCCCCCAGATGTCCGACCAAGAGGGGCACTGAAAGAAGGCAGTCTGGGGTCTTGGTCATCGCCCTTGCTGGCGGCACGGAGCGAGGGGAGAGCGTGGGATACTACATAGTTTACCTCATGTGTCCATCGCCCCTCACCCGAGTGCTGCCGCGCCTCTTGCAGCATCGTTTGCGTCTGTAACCCTTTCGCTCAAGCTTCCCACTGGCTTCGACTGCGCCTGCCTCCCCTAGACCTCCCGCTTGATCTGCAGGTCCACACTGGAGAGCTCGGCCCAGAGAGAGTGTTTTTCTTCGAGGGGCGCTTGCTGTTATCGACGGCGCGCGCCCCGTGGCCTGTCTCGCCGCCCGCGCGGACCGTGCCCCCAGATGTCCGACCCAGAGGGGCACTGAAAGAAGGCAGTCTGGGGTCTTGGTCATCGTCCACGCTGGCGGCACGGAGTGAAGGGGAGAGCGTGGGATGTTGATGATCATGATGGTGCTGATAATGATGATGGCAATGATGCAGGGATGCGCCCCCCCCTGATGACCTCAACCATGCTTGGTTCCACTTTGTCCCGAAGGCTGACGGGGCACCTTCGGCGGCGGAATGCGCCCGCGAACCGGGGAAAAACACGACCATTGGCCCTCAAGAATCGCGACGCCGAGTTGTTGGCCTCGACCGCGAACACCTACTGGGCCAAGGTTCCGGACGGCATGTTCTTCACGTCCGCCGAGGATTTGCGCGCGGCCGGAATTTCTTCGCGAATTTGCGGACATTGGACGGGCAGGCTCGCATCGCATCGCTAGGTGATGCGGATCCGTTGCCACGCCGACGGCCCTGCGTTGCCTCCGTCGACGTGGCGGTGGCCTTCCCGTTCCTGGCGCGGCCGCTGCTTTTTCACAGCCATCGAGCAGTTCGGCACCCCTACGCGAGCTCAGAATTTGCGCTGACGATCTCGGGGCGGCGCTCTGGAAGCTGGCATTTACGTCTTCTTACCCCGCACCTCGGTGCCATGAGCCGATTGCCTTGCCTCCCCCTCCAACCGAAGATGCGCGCGTTAGCCCCGCCATGGCCCTCGACGGCCAAGCATACTTTCGCCCGATATTCCATCCGAGCATCTCTGGCCGACTTGATCAACTTGATCCCCGAATGGAAAAATGCAGGATCGAATCCGCGGCGAAGTATTTGGGATTCGCCATTGGTCCAGGCGCGACCTTCGAGGATTCCAGGCTCGAGGCCTCGAACAAGCATTAGTCCCGAGCAGCCATCCTCAAAACCACTCCCGCGACCACCCTCGAGGTGATCAAGCTCTACAACTCTTCTGCCATCACGGCGTTGTCGTACCTGTGTCAATTCCTCCCGCTACTGGAACCCTTGCTCAAAGCAGAAATCGACGTCTTGCACGGTATTTTTACGGCTCCTCCGAAGTCGTTCAGCCTCGCCGATCTCCAGCATGCACACGTGGTACTCGCTTCCGATTCTGTCGCCACTGTTACCCTCGGCGCGGGCCGCGGCCTGGCGCACAGCCAACACCACTCTCATGGGCAGGAGAACTTCGTGGAAGCATGGAAGGCGCGCGTCTTTGACGACCTCGCGCCAGCGTTGGCTGTTGCAAGGAACTGGTCCTCTGCTTGCTGGACCATGCTTCAAGCCATGGCGCAATATCTCATTGCCGTCGACTCCGCAACTGCGTCGCCCCCTTAGCGCGCGGCTCCACCGAAAGAGGCAAGGAGCCCCGTTGCTGGCCAACCGCGCGGCCAGGGCTGACCTGCGGGAAGCTGCCCTCCGTGACCGCCAACCCCAGCTTCAACGCGTTCGCCAGCAGGCGGCCTCGGCCGCCCTCTACTCCGAAAAGCCCCACGTCAACATTGCCAAGAGGATCAAGACTTGGCGGCCTCAACTCGCACCTCCTGCAGATCTGGCGGGCCGGTGGCGGCGGCTTCGTCAGCAGTTGTCGGTCGCTTCACCGGGTGAATTGTGGGCGAATTACCGCACGTTGGCGGGATCCTGGCGCACGCCCTTCCGGATGCACGTCCGGCCCCGCCATTTGCCTTGCCGGTTCGGTTGCGAGGGTGCAACGACGAGATCGTTCATTATTTGGCTTGTCGAGGGGCTTGCTGGGCGGTCTGGCAGGCGACGTGGTCATTCGCGCATTCGTCTGTGCTACGCAGGCTGGCCCTCGGCGAAGAAGCATCATACCAAGACGCCGAAGATGAGTAGAACAACCTACCGTACACGGTAGCACGGTTAGCGCGCCTCTACCACATCCACAACATTCTTCGACACCGCCTAGATGCACACATACAATCGCCAGACGCGGCCGTTACAGCTGCGCGGGTAGCGGCCCACCAGGTCAAGGCGCCATCGCCAACAGCTCCAAGAACTATTACTTCTGACGGGCCCCGCCAGCCGCGAGGCTAGTGAGCCATCTGATCCGCCATCTGCGGGCGCTCCTCTTCCTCCCTCCTCCTCCGTCTCCTCCTCCTCCTCCTCCTTCTCCTCCTCCTCCGTTTCCTCCTCTTCCGCCTCCTCTTCCTCCTCCTCCTCCTCCTCCTCCTCCTCCTCCTCCTCCTCCCCCCCCTCCTCCTCCTCTTCCTCCTCCTCCTCCTGCTCCTCCTCCTCCTCCTTCTCCTCCTCCTCCTACTTTTCCTCCTCTTTCTCCTCCTCCTCCTCCTCCTCCTCCTCCTCCTCCTCCTGCTCCTCCCTCTCTCCTCCCTCCTCCTTCTCTTCCTCATCCTCCTCTCCTCCTCCTCCTCCCCTTCCTCCTCCGCCTCCTCCTCCCTCCTCCTCCCCTCCTCCTCCTCCTCCTCACCTCCTCCCATCCTCCTCCCTCCTCCTCCTCCTCCTCCTCCTCCTCCTCCCCCCCCCTTCTCCTCCTCCCTCCTCCTCACTCCTCCTCCTCCTCCTCCTCCTCTCCTCCACTCCTCCTCCTTCCCGCTCCTCCTCCTCCTCATCCTCATCCTCATCCTCCTTCTCCTTCCTCCTCCTCTTCTCCTCCTCCTCTTCCTGCTCCTCATAATCATCATCATCTCATCACAGCAGCAGCAGCAGCATCTCACAGCGCTCCAATGCTCTCAGCAGCAGCATCCTGATCCCCTTGTTGTCTCTCCTCCTCCTCCTCCTCCTCCTCCTGCTCCTTTCCCTCCTCCTCATCGTCATCAGCACAGCATCATCATCACATCATCGTCTCATCATCCTCCGCCTACGCATACTCCTCTCCTCCGCCTCCCTCCTGTTCCTCCTCTCCCTCTTCCTCCTCCTTCTGCCCTACTCATCCTCCTCGTGTCCTCCTCCTCCTCTCCTCCTCTCTCTCCTCCCCTCCGCCTCTCCTCCACCTCCTCCTCCTGCCTCCTCTTCTCCTCCTCCTCCTCCCCTCGTCCGCCTCCTTCTCCTCCCCTCCTCATCCTCATCCTCATCCTCATCCATTCCTCCTCCGCCGCCTCCTCTCCTCTCCCGCCTCCTCCTCCTCCTCCTCCTCCTCCTCCTCCGCCTCATCTCTCTGCTGCTCCTCTCCCTCGCCTCTCTCCTCCCTCCCTCCCTCCCTCCTCCTCCTCCTCCTCTTCCTCCTCGTTCTCCTCCTCCTCCTCCTCATCATCATCAGCATCATCATCATCCTCATCATCATCATCAGCAGCATCAGCATCATCATCAGTATCCTCCCCCGCATCATCCTCCTCATCATCATCATCAGCATCATCATCATCAGCAGCAGCATCAGCATCAGCATCATCATCCCTCTCATCATCCCTCTCTTCCTCCCCTTCCTCCTCCTCCTCCTCCTCATCATCATCATCATCATCGTCCTCCTCCTCCTTCTCCTTCCCCCCCTCATCCTCCTCCTCTTCCTCCTCCTCCTCCGCGTCCTCCTCCGCCTCCTCCTCCTACTCCTCCCCCTCCACCCCCTTCGTCTCCTCTCCTTCCGCCTCCTCCTAGGTGCTGATGCGGCTTACAGCGCTGGAGGGGCCCCGCCACATTTGCCACACCGCGCATCCCATGAGCGGAGATCAACACCATGCTTCGCGACAGGCCTAGGTCAGCCCGTTGCTCCAACTCTCACTTTCCTCCACCCGCAGAGCTTCTCTTGCTGATGGTCCTAAGAGTTGTTGCTCACAATGCGGGATGGGCAGACTACGCGCGCTTGGAATAGATGTTGGCATTCGTCCCCACAGTAGACGCATTGCTGCTGGAGGGCACGAGGCGCGCCGCTCTCCGAGACGAAGATGCGTCGCAGATTGCCCCCCCTATCACACGAGCGCGCAGCCTGGCTTCCGCGACTCACGCTGGGCAAATCGTTTTCGCGGGTTCGCAACGGTTTTCGGCTAGGGCCTAGAGGGCACATTGCAGTAGACGCAGTTCCCAGCCAGGTCGCGAAATGCTACAACAAGCATTGCGATGGCATCGGTTGTTTTCTGTCTTGCGCACATGCCGCACACAGGTACCACGCTCCCGGCGCTGACGGAGGCGGTCGACAAGTGCATGGAGGGGTTCACGAAGACGGTGGGCAAGCTGGGTCACCAATGCCAGGTCATCCTGGGAAGGGGACCTGAACTGCTTCTTCGGCATCCGACGAGACTCGACGGAGTGAAATTTTTGCAGAGCAGATGAAATTGCAGGCTTGAAGAACCCTGGCATGGAGACTACGATATCGCGGATGCTACAAAATTCGTTGGGGGAGAACCACATGCTGGCATGCAGCAGCTTCTGGGGCACGGTTTTCAATGGTAGAAACAGCAGCAAGATAGATCGCTTCAGCATTCCAAGATAGAACATGCAGCGCGCCCCGTACGCAAGCGCCCTCAGGCAAGTGGGGCGACGCGCATAGCGGCGAGAAACTACCTCGCCTCGGGCCCGCATCCTGTTGATATTGAAATCAGACATGCAGCTGAGGATTGGACATGCGGGGTCTCACCGTCCGCGCATCGACCGCGGATCTCTCATGGGAGCTAATCTGCGTAGACACACACGAATATATCTTTCAAAGTAGACTACGATTCCCGAAAACACCGGGAGGGAGACGCGGGACCGAGGCGTCGCGCGACGCGCAGGAAGGATGAAATCTGCCGGGGGCATGCATCCACGAGAGCTCGCAGAAGGTCCCCCCGCCCGGCGAGCACCACATCACAGAAACATGAGGGCATGCGGAAAGACAGGGCGGTTCCGATCAAACAGCGCGCTCACCTACGTGACCGCATTGCTGCGAGACAGAGCGCACGCGACGGATCTGGCCCACGCCAGTCTGCGCACGACGACGCGCGCGACAAGCTGAACGAGATCACGGGGGACCCACAAGCAGCCCGCCACATGCAAAAATTGGAGAGGCGCGCCGAGACGGCAAAACAGTTACGGCAGGCTTCGAACCGCAGAGACTTGTCGCATATTCACAGTCTGAAGACATCATTGGCAGACATCATTGGCAAGAACAGGCCGCGGGCCCAAGAAGCGTTTTGCGTAGGGCTCTCGACAAAACATGACATGGGATTTTGCGCGGCAAGCTGGCGGCGGCGAATTAGGAGCGCGGCCCGTGGGCGTGAACGACACGGCCGCAGATCATCCGTTGCTTCAGGAGATGCCGCGGAGTGGGCGCAGGAAGACCGACAGGGGCAGGCTCGACACCTCAGACGTGCGCCAAAGAGAAGAGCACGTTGAACATGGGGCGTCACGTCGGAGGCGCTGCCGACGGGACTTGATCGGAGGATGTACACACGCGATGACGGCCAGCTTTTTTTTATCCCGCGAACGCTTCACGCTGGTACTGTGACCTCCTCACCCTAGTCAGGACGGTAGAACCCACGCCCATGAGCACCGCGCGCCCCAACCACCTTCGCCCAGCCCAAGCACAATGAAGCACATGGCACCAAAGGGCTGAGGATCTGACACTTGTTCGATGCACGCTGCATGAGTTTCTACGGACAGATGGTGGAAGGAACGCACAAAGCGACCCATGACGGAGGATAACGTTCATGGAGAGCTTTGTGGTCGTCGTCGTGAGGGAATGACCTTAGCCCAGTCCGACCGACGCGTTTCCTTCCGAGCAGCCGTCGAGAACGCTACCACGTAGTGAATGCCGCAGATGGGGAGCAGGATTATCGGGCAGATCGGGGGACTCCGGTGGGGCACTCCATGGCTGCCGCGGATTTCGTGGGTGCTTCCATTCCACGGGCCCGAGAATGGTGGGACAAATCCGTCTGGGGTGAAAACAGCTACAAACTACTCACAGGGAAAAGTCCAGTGTCCTGGAGAGCCCTCGACATCGGCGCGACCACGCCCATCGATGACATGCACATACTCACAAGCCCACATCACAGCACATCGCGGCACACATTAATCTAGCAACCACGCTACTGCAACATCAAATTCTACACACAGGCCATCACCTTAACAAGCACGTGACAGCGCACATCGTCAACATCATGGGGCACGGGGCTCTTGCACACGCGAAGCAGTCATGCGCGCCGTTTTCGGTCAAGGGCACGGTCGACCGCGAGGCGAGACTGCCCGGGCCAAGTCTCCCTTCCGGCGGCGCGCCGCGCACCGAGCTTGGCAAGACAACCTTAGCCGCCCGCGCAGGATGGTGACCACCTGGCCGCGCGCGGCGCCAACCGCTATCACGCAGATTGAAGCGGGTGTTTTTGATGTTTCGCATACTCTGCGACGGCGCCAGGCTTGTCCGCCTTTGCTTCTGAAGAAGATTTCACTGGTCGGTCGGACAGCGCGACCGTAGAAATGCCCCGCGGCCCGACGAGAGGAAGAGCAGCCATCGCCACGGACGACGGCCGCGACAGGTCCATGTCCTCTAGAATGGTTCTCTCACTGGGAAATATGGCCCACTGCCGTCGAGCTCCAGCTGCAGCGAGCCAGATGGATTCAGGCTATCGCCAGGGACCCAGCGAACCACGACCACGTCCTCATGTGAGTTTTCGAAGCCACGAGGTTGGACGAATCCGTCGAGCGCCGCCGTTTAGATCGCACTGGCAGCGTCTACGAGCACAGCGCTCCGTGGGCAAAGCAGTGGCTAGCAGAGCTCAACCCGACTGCGAAAGCGACCGAGCGGCATTGCGACGCCCACGCCTGCGTTAAAGGCATGCAACCAAACATGAATTGCACGAGCGGCTGGCACGACACTCAATACATGAAGTAGCCGCGCGGCTTGCAAGAAGTCTGTGATCGACAAGCTTATTCCACGAACATGGCTAGAGCGCGCACACGACGACGAACGAGAAGCACGCGGGCACAGCACGCACGAAAGGGGAAGGAAGTGTACGAGGGGGGTTCTCGTGCATGCACGAGATGCACGATGCGTCGGTCTTAGGAGCGACTTTCCTCTACCTTGAACGTTTGCGTCGCCTTCGCACATCAGTTTCGACGTGATTTCTCGCTAGCGCCTCGTACAAATGCATGTCCATGGTGTCGGGCGCCGTTCGTTCGCAAGGCCTCGCGCTCGAGACGCGCGTGGACGACGGCGGCTAAGACGCCAAGGAAGTGCTCAGCCAGCTCCGTCTCCTTCGATATCCGGCCCGAGTCTGACCCACCATACACGCGTGGACACGGCGACATTGCACATCAAGACTTCCACACTCACTTGCAGCACTCGCATGAGCACGCACCAGGCCCAGAGCTAGAAGATGCATCCAGCAGGGTGGATGTCGACGGCATCGGGGGTCCGCCCGAGGCCAGATACGGTCGACGCAGCCGGCGCAGCAGCGGCACCGCTAACGCAGAGGGCACGCCAAGGAGCAGGAGCAGCTGGAGCCCAGCCACGCCGCGCGCCTGCTGGGCATGGAGGCCCGCCGACAACGACGATGACGGCGCTGCAGCGGGCGACGCTCAACAACGCGCAGATGAATCGTCACCTGGCAGGGTCGGCCTGGGTCTTCTACCACTTGACCCAAGAGGTGCCAGCAGCAGATACATGGGACGGCCTACGCGGAGAAGGTCAGAGCCAGGGAGAAGGACATGGGCAACCCCAAATGCACATCGCGGCCGCCTTCTTCAAGGGCCCGGCGCTAATCGGAATTACCAGGCCCATCGGAGGAGATCTTCGCCAGTTTCGACATCTTGGTGGACAGCATGTCACGCCTTCACGTCGGATACATGACCCCCTACTTCCGCACCAACGCAGTCTACGCCGAACGCGACCAGCCGAAGAAGTACAAGGTGCAGATCATGCACAACGCTCATGCAGTCAGCGCTTTCACGGACGAGCGACTGATCACGGGCATCAATCGCACGAGGGAGCAGAACCAGGAGGGGGCCGTGCCGTCGGTCAAACCGCCGCCGATCACACTGCTGCTGTTTCGACAGGCGGTGCACCAGGCCGCGTTTCCCTTGGGATCGAAGCCGACCCAGGAATCAGCACCGCCGTCAGCGTTGCAGAGGGCCCTTCAGAATCAACTCCGATACCGCCAGCAGATGCGAAGCATTTTGCCGTGAATGTTGACGGACTTCGCAGACAGGCTGAAAATGGCAGGGCCAGAGCACGCGACATGTTGCTTCACATATGGTATGCATGTGTTTCTTTCTTCTTCTATGACAAACTGGATGGGTTCTAACATACATGCACTATCCCAACCAGGCTGTAACCCGCCTGCACCGTTCGTCGCCAGTCCCCCGCTAGTTCCTCGCCCCAGGCTTCCGCCTAGGCCAGGACTCGCACGCTTGCTGGCAACCTGCCACCGCGTGCAGCGTTCCTGGTTGGGTCCTCTCCGTCTTGTACACCCTCTCAGATAGCAGGTGAAATCAGGGATGTCACGCCTACTTCAGACGTTGCGCAGGGCTTGTGAGCTGCATTCGCCCAGTTGAACCCGTTCAGCTAAACAGCTGGAGACTGCCCCAGCCTTCCTCGACTCCTACGCCGAGGATGTCCCTGCTCGCTTGAACAATTACATGCGCCGCTGTTTCGCACACTGCAGTCTAGCATCGCGCATGCACGCACGCTATATAGTGTAACACTGCGAGCACGTGATGCGCACGGTGAAAGTTGACCTAATACATACGGCGCCCATGTACACGATTCCGCATACTTGCAGGCTGGGAGGGTTGAGCCCAGTGTTTCGCCTTCTCTTTGTGTGGAAAGAAGCGGAGGTTCGCGACGGCCTAAGGCCGACGAGGCGCCCAAGGCTTATAAGCCCCAACGGGTTACCGCAGGCGCCTTCAGGCCTTATAGGTCCGACCGCTTCGCCTTGAACAGCACCAGCAGCATATAAGGACGCTGACAGGCGCCCAACGTTCCCAGACCTGTGTTCCATGCGCTGACGCCGAACTGTTGCCGAAGGCGTTCGTCCGATCGCTCCTCCTCCTCCTCCTCCTCCTCCTCCTCCTCCTGCTCCTCCTCATCATCATCCTCTTCCTCCTCCTCCTCCTCATCATCATCATCCTCCTCCTCCGCCTCTTCCTCCCCCTCCTCCCCCTCCTCCTCCTCCTCTTCCTCCTGCTCCTGCTCCTCCTCCTTCTCTTCCTCCTCCTCCTCCTCGTCCTCCTCCTCCTCGTCGTCGTCCTCTCATGTGTTTCACACGAAACTACCGCGAACGACCAGCGGTGCGCACAAACTTTTGCTTACCTCATGTTGCCGTTTGGTTGGTGTCGGTTGGTGTCGCTGGAGGAGACGACGTGCACCTACGCCCAAACAGCGGTGTCAGGTTCGCCCAGGAAGTTTCGCGATTATTATGCCCATAGATCGTGATCTGGAAAGGACCACGTCGGCCCCACTATGAGCGCAAGTGTTTTCGTGAGCATCGCATCGACCCATCACAGTGCACTTGTCGGGAGCATTGCGTTAACAACAGGCATTCGTACTTTAGACACGTTCGCGGATTCCACGCCATCGGCACGATTGTGTTGGGAAGTACCCCATGTACGAAGCGATGCGCCCACTTGATTTGACTTGAAAACGTACCCCAAGTAGCTCAGCATCAGCTTTCGAGGTCTGAAAAGCACCGCGTATCTTTAACAGCCGATGGACCTGGTTGAAATTAGCGCGTCGACGCCGTGCAATCCTTTTCCGCTAGCATCTCGAGATCTATACCATCGACGCGCTTGTCTTGTGCAGTAGCATGCCCACTCCAGAGCGGGAAGGAATGATTTGGTCAATATTTCTTTGTGTTTCACCATCAGCGCACTGCTAAACAGAAAGCGTTGCGCTCACTACGCGGGATTGCTGGCAGTCATGCACCAGGATACGGTCAGGAATTTTGGTTCAGCGTTTCGTTCCGCCTGGTCTGGCCCACGACGTTTCGGCGCGACACGCTAATCACGTCATTGTCCCCAGGCTTCAACGTCCCGAGTTTTCCCCGGCCTCCCGCCACACGGAGCTGAGCGACACGCTATCCGTTCGCAGGACATACCGTGTCGCCGTGACCGCCACCTCGACACGGTAAGCAACAGTTCTACACCATAGATATCGTATTTTCTGAGCTCCCTGGAAGGCTCCTTTCGATAAACGGGAGTCGAGAGCATGGTGCCGGAATGCACAGATTTCGGCCAGAAACCCGAGTGAAACCCGCCATCGCTTTTGCGAACAGCGCCGACGTCGAAAATTTAGGCCCGCGCACATATACACATACACTGATGTATTACGAGGACGCTGGCTACATGGGTATCCGCACTCTACGCCCCCTCGGTGGGTAGGGGGCATGTAGACTACACACTGGGTGAGCACGCTCCATGAAGCATTGCACTGATTGTGATCGCGGTTGTTGCATGCGGCTGGACGTCTTGCTAAGACGGCATGCAGGCCCCTTCTGCCAGCAATTTGTTTCCGTACGTGCGCGCCGTAGGTGATTTTGTTTAGCGCAGGTTGCGCCACAGCATTCATGGCTTCCGAGCCAGTGATGTATTCCTCGGTTGCCCACAAGACACGAGGAATATATCTGACGCCCCACGTCTAGCACTTGCGGAGCGCTGTGCATGCCTTTCAAATATGTTGTCAGATTCCGTCCCCCAGAGGAAGGTGTGTGTGTGCGATTGACCTGGTCAATCCACTGTGGGCGGATCCTTGGTCTCCTCGCCGCGTCAGTTGGCCCGGCCGCGTGTGTGCGTGTGCGCGTGCTTGCGTGTGTGTGTGTGTGTGTGTGCGGGTGTGCGTGTGTGTCGATGTGTAGGCGTGTGTGCGTGTAGGTGTGTGTTTGGAACTCTTTGCATCGAGCTTACCCTCCGCTGGTTCGCTGGCCGCTGCAGCCTGGCTTTACAGCGCCTCATTTGGCTTCCACTTGTCTGCATGGCCGTGGCTGGAATATTTCATCGTGTCGCGGTCGACTAAATTCGTTCGCAATTAGCACCTCCACCTGCCGACCGCGCCTGGGGCTCCTCTGCGCCGCCGACTTGACAAGTGTGTGTGTGTGTGCGTGTGCGTGTGCGTCTGTGCATGTGTGCGTGTGTGTGTGTGTGTTGGTGTGTGCGTGGTTGTGTGGGTTGTGTGTATGGGTGGTATGTGTGTGTGCGTGTGTGTGTGTGTGTGCGCGTGTGTGTGTGTGTGCGTGCGTGCGCGTGTGTGTATGCGTGATGCGTGTGTATGTGTGTCTGTGTGTGTGTCTCTGTGTGTGCGTGTGTGTGTGTGCGTGTGTAGGCGTGTTTGTGTGCTTGTGCGTGTGCGTCCGCGTATGTGTGAGTGTGTGTGTGTGCGGGTGTTTGTGTGTGCGGGTGTGTGTCTGTGTGTGTGTTTGTGTGTGTCTGTATGTATGTGCATGCGTGTGTGGTTGTGCGTGTTCTGCTTTCTTGCGGCATGCAGCAGGCATGGAGACGTAGTCTGCTGTCCGATCGGGTTGGCGTATGGGAGGTTTCTCAGGCGGGTTCTCGGGAGCTTCTAGGTATTATTCCGTAGGGTTTACCTGGGCTTTCACGTTATCTTACAGCGTCTGGCGGTGCCCCAGGTTGGTGGCCATCCCAAGTCGTTTCCGATATGCTTGCCGACATTGAAGCCCACATAACAAGCAAGCATTGAAACTTAGAAGAGTGCCAGAATGAGTAAGGCAGATCGCGGCGCAGCGATGGGGGCGTCACCCTTGCAAAACGACAGAACGCCACACGAGACAGCCGAAGGACTTTAACACGACCCAACATGCTGGATGACTCGGTGGCGGATCTTCTTCCTACATGTCCACCGCCTCGCGTCTCTTCCCCCTCCCCACATCAGTCTCCTCTCCATCCTCCTCGCTGGAAGGCCAGCACGAGGTGGAATTACCCGAGACATACCAAATCCTTCCTAAGAGCGAGGCGGCTATCAATAGGAGCATTCCGTGCAGAGGAACGCATTGAGAGATCTGCAGCAGTCTTGAACGCTTAGCAAGACAGCGTCGGAGTATTTTTCAGTGCCCACCATTCACGCACGCATTCTCGCAGCTCAGACCGTCAAAGGGATGCCAACGACCAGCGCGCCCCAGGGAGCCGCGAGGTCTCGTCTAGATCCGCGTACGCCTGCGCTCCGTGGTCCTCCCAGTAGCCCATGAATTTTGCGCAGGTGGCAGCGCCCCCAGGGAGCCGCGAGACCTGGTCTGAGGTGCGCAGCACACCACTCCGGTGGGCACCCCAGGAGCCCACGACAGCGACGAGCTGCGCAGATTGCAGCCTCCCTCGGAGTCGCGAGGTTCAGTTCGGACGTGCGTAAGACACCACTCCCACGAAAGTGACGACAGCTGCGCAGGTGGCAGCACCCGGGGGAGCCGCAAGGTCTAGTCTGGATGTGCGTTGGGGACAAATCCGCGGGATCGGAAAATGAATGGATAAAGGCGGTGCAATGTTGCCCCCCCACCCGCGAAGTGTTCGCGTGCGGAGGTTTTCTGCTTAATCCGTCTTGACACTGGCGCATCCGATCCAGGGATGGAGGCGAGGAAAGGACGGAGAGCTGTTTCCGTGCCACGAACATATTTGACCCCCATCCCCGCCTGGTCGCAATTTTCACCCAGGCTCGAAAGGCGAAAGGCTTGAAGCATTACCTGTGCCTGGAAGGGCTACAGAGTTCTTTGCGTCTTGGCGTTTTTGACCATGCGAGTTGCGTACGATTTGATGGTAGCCCGTGGTCGCAGCATTGCGGTCGCCATCCGCTTGCGCCCTATCGATGGATGGTTTTGGGGTCCATCAACGAGCACATGCGCTACATGGACTGCGTTGCATCCATTGGCAACCATTAGGTACGAGCGCAATATTGCATAGCCATGACTACATGTGAACGCAGTGAAGTGTTAGCTGCATCGTTTCGCCCTGATGTTGCCACGCACATGTCGCGATTGCACATGGACTTATTTTGATACACCAGTTATCCACACATCGCACACTGAGTATGGAAGCCACGTCACCTATTACGTCAGATTGCATGTTGTCGC